TATATATATATATATATATATATATATATATATATATATATGTATATATATATACACACACACATATATATATAGCATATATATATACATATACATATATCTACATATCTCCCCCTCTCCCGCCCTCTCTGTCGCCATGACTGACGCTATTATTAATACTATTATTTAACAGCTTGTATATTAGTTTATATATCTATATCTACACATTTTGTTTTATGCTGATTGTCTACGGCATGTTTTTCTGTGTTCAAAAAATACAAAATAAAAGAAAAATTTTATGGAAAATCCCAAGATGTCCTTAAAAAAAATAAATAAAAATAATAATAATAATAAAATTTTTTAAAAAAGTAGATTTTTAATCTGGCCAAATTTGCCCACTGGCCTCTGTCCATCATGGGCTCCTAAGCAACCCCATATAATAATTGGCTTCCTCACTCGGTCTCCTCTCCACCAATAAGCCGGTGTGGTCTGGCACAATATGGCCGTCATCCAGGTGGATGCTGCACACTGGTGGTGGATGAGGAGATTTCCTGCCAAAACTGTGTAAAGCGCTTTGAGTGTCCAGAAAAGCGCTATATAAAAGGTAAGGAATGATTATTATTAATCTTAGTCCTGTTTTGAATCTGCTGTTACAGGCATTTGCAGCTCCGCCTTTGTTTTGAAAAGAGCATATGATGAAAGCGGAGAGAGTGTGTTATGAGATTGCATCAATAAAAAAAAAGGTGTAAATGGTGAATAAAGGCACCTCCTGGAGAACAGGGATCACCGGTGGGCTTCTCTGCTGCAGGAAGAACAGCACCATCAGAGTGTAAGCGTATGAAGAAAGACTGCCGCGCGACGCATCTCCAATATCACACACCTGAGCACACAGAAATCATGCACATGTTCGATATACAACAGGGCACACATGATACAGTAGTTCACATCTGGGTCATTAAAGAGAACAAACAAAAACACACAGTAACCAGTCCCAATTGACTTATGCTATGTTTTTTACACAGGATTCAGGCTTGGTTACTCATGTGTGAACACACTCTTGACATGACCAAGTGGAAAAACGCACTGAGGTCAAGTTGAGGCAAAGTACAACAGTGTTCACAGTCAATTCAATAGTGCTAGTGTTGTTCTGAAGTCATACTAACATGAGATTTCAGACCCAATATTCAAAGTAGCATGGTAAACAATAAGGGAACCATGTCACAATTTATCAATGAATGAATGTGCAAATATAAAACCAACTTTACCCCAATTAAAAAAATATAGTGTACTATTGCCGGCAACTTGCTCTTTGCAACTCTCACATGGTCGCCCACTGAAGCTAAGCAGGGCTGCGCCCGGTCAGTACCTGGATGGGAGACCAAATAGGAAAGCTAGGTTGCTGCCGGAAGTGGTGTTAGAGAGGCCAGCAGGGGGCGCTCAACCTGCAGTCTGTGTGAGACCTAATGCCCCCGTATCCGCTTGTTAAGTGTGACGTCACGCGAAGCGGCTTCCAGGTCCAAGCGCTCTATTCAACTGAATGGGGAGACTCATGAAATGCTAATAATAAACGTTTACAAAGCGATTTAAGGCTTTTGAAAATCACGATCGCGGTATATATGTCCATGCCTAATATCCGATGGCCAGAAAGTGATTATTATTTTTATAAATTGTTAAATTTTTGGTATTTGTTATGCAGCAAGCCCAGAGATTGTTGTGTACACTATGATTTTTATATAAAATTAATTTTAATGTGTGACAGAAATAAAACGTGATCATAAACGAATGATCTCTCCACTCGGCTTGGACCCAGAAACAGTGTTACATACGTCACAAACACGTCACCACTTAACAAGCGGATAGTGACGGGGACTCTATACTGCTCAGTGAGCACCGTCTTTCGGATGAAACGTTAAACCGAGGTCCTGACTCTTTGTGGTCATTAAAAATCCCTTAAAAATATCCTTCGAAAAAGGGTAGGGGTTTCACCCTGGCATCCTGGCCAAATCTGCCCACTGGCCTCTGTCCATCATGGAATTATTTTTATTATTATTATTACTACAGTGTTTTTGAACCATACTATAGTAGTGCATTATACTGTAAGCATCTTCTTTTAAAGGGTCACGAAACACCAAAACACATGTTTTGAGCTGTTGACAGTCGTATATGTGTCCCACACTGCTAAAAACACTATTAGGACACCTATATTTCACTAAAAAGTGTAAATTGGTTGTTTTTGCGTTATTTTAAGCAAATTCGTACTTCCTGTTTGAAACGAATTTTTGAAGCTGCGTCACGGTCATGAAATAATAGCGTGTATTCCAGCGTGCAGACTGGACGCCTGTGCCAGAGTGAGTCTTATTACGTCTTACAGTGTGATGCATTAATGCATGAGTAAAGCTTGGTTCAAACCAATCAGCGCGCTCTATTGTGCAACTTCATTAATATTCATTACTGTCACAGTGTTTAGACGACAGAGACGCCACGTTATGTTAACAAAACAAGCGTGAAGTGTTGCTTTTATAGTTTGCTGCAGTGAAGTTTTGTTTTCATTTTCTCTCTTTGAGAGCTCAGCTGGAGTCACGTGTGGATTAACAGTGTACGCGACGCTCGACAACAATAACTTATTATTGTTTACCTGAGAGCTGTTCTCATCTGCAAACGCTGAGATCCGGATTCGCTTGTAGTCTTCTCTTCATAAAGACGCGGCTCTAGTTGCTGGTGATTGTCCTGTCTCTACAGATTTGGTAAGTGAGCGACCAGTGCTCTTTGTTTATTCAGTTTGTTCGTATCGAACTAACTCTTGCACCGAGTGTAAACATGTTAGCACCACAACCAAACTTTTTTTTGTGGCCGGAATAACACACGCGGCTTTCTGATGCTACCTGCCGTGTGCATCTAAGTTTCCGGGAAATGCTGAGTTTTTTTTCTCTCATTCGCCGTGCGGTATCAAACATTGCATGAAAAATACACACTTAGAGCAGATCCTCGAATCAAATATCACGTTTGTCGGGAGGGACATGAATGAATTCCCTGAATGAAAGAGGCAAACTGCAGTTAAAGTCCACCATTTAATAATTTGGCAAATAATTCGACTACAGATCTCCATGTAAACACCATCACTTTCTTCCGTGTGTTTGTGTTTATTTTGACTCTGAAACTCGCGCGTGCCCAAATAGACACTCCCATACCATCCCACTTTAGTTCCTCCGACACTCCCCCCTAAACGGAGATGGACACGCCCACTTATCTGACTTTTTCCAAAGTAGAGGTGTGAAAACACCCTGCTGAAACGAGGGGGTTTCATGGCCCTTTAATGCATACTCCAGCATACTGTTGTACTAACTATGGTTAACTATTAAACTATAACAAAAACTGCAGTAAACATTAGTTTTTACTACAGTAACCTGTGGTGTACTGTAGTGTTATAAACCCTAGTTTTAGAAAACTACAGTATTGGGTTATCTATTAATATTATTAATGTGTGTTACCAAAGCTATAAAATAACCACAACAGATTAATTCAAGTTCTTTACATTCATTCATTCATTCATTTTCCTTTGGCTTAGTCCCTGTCGCCACAACGGAATGAACCACCAACTATTCCAGCATATGTTTTACGCAGCGGAAACCTTTTTTAGCCGCAGCCCAGTACTGGGAAACACCCATACACACTCATTTACACACACACTCATACACTACACCCAATTTAGTTCATCAGTTCACCTATAGCGCATGTGTTTGGACTGTGGGGGAAACCGGAGCACACAGAGGAAACCCACGCCAACACCGAGAACATGCAAACTAAACACAGAAATGCCAACTAGCCCAGTCGGGACTCGAATCAGCGACCTTCTTGCTGTGAGGCGACAGTGCTAACCACTGAGCCACCCGTAAGTTCTTTACTACAGTATTTTTTCATGTAGGTGAAGGAGCGATAATCTTTACTGAACGTGTTGAACTTACTTTAGAGAAAACTTTCATGACGTAGCAGAGGATCTTCACTCGAGCGTCAATGGCAGCGTATGACGCCAGCAACTGTGTGTTGTGCAAAGCCTGAGGAAATACAATCAAACACACACACACACACACATTTAATTCATGTTTTTCAATTCTACTCTCTACAATCAAGAGATAATACTCTCTATTTCAATAAGTACTGTTTCTAGATTTCCTAAGTCCCGTAAGGTGCTTTGAGATCTGCTTTTTATTCGATGTTTTACTTGATTAACTTGCATGGATTATTCGTACACCTTAAGGTTAACAATGCGAGCTAGCAAAATAAACATTGTAGATTTTGATGCCATGCAGACTTAGGAAGTAACAAAATGACAAATAATATACACACACCGGCCAATTTATTAGGTACACCTCACTAGTGCTGGGTTGGACCCCCTTTTGCCTTGAGAACTGCCTTATTCCTTCGTGGCGTAGATTCAACAAGGTACTAGAAATATTCCTCTGAGAATTTGCTCCATATTGACATGATAGCACTGGTGACTGTGGAGGCCATTTGAGTACAGTGAACTCATTGTCATGTTCAAGAAACCAGCCTGAGATGATTCACGCTTTGACATGGTGTGTTATTCTGCTGGAAGTAGCCATCAGAAGATGAGTACACTGTGGTTATAAAGGGATGGCCATGTTCAGCAGTAATACTCAGGTAGGTTGTGGCATTGACACAATGCTCAATTGGTACTAATGAGCCCATGAAAATCTCCCCCACACCATTACACCACCACCACCAGCCTGAACCGTTGATCCAAGGCAGGATGGATCCATTTCAAGGTTGTTGTGTGTTCAGAGATGCTCTTCTACAGACCTCGGTTGTAACGAGTGCTGTTAACATTCTATAAATGACCAGTCTGGCCATTCTCCTCTGACATCTGGCATTGGCGTCAACAAGGCATTTACGCCCACAGAACTGCCGCCCACTGGATATTTTCTCTTTTTCAGACCATTCTCTGTAAATCCTAGAGATGGTTGTGCGTGAAAATCCCAGTAGAACAGCAGTTTCTGAAATACTCAGACCAACCCGTCTGGCACCAACAACCATGACATGTTCAAAGTCACTTAAATCGCCTTTCTTTCCCATTCTGATGCTCTGTTTGAACTGCAGCAGATCTTCTTGACCATGTCTACATGCCTAAATGCTTTGAGATGCTGCCATGTGATTAGAAATTTACTTTCTTTAACGAGCAGTTGAACAGGTGTACATAATAAAGTGGCCAGTGAGTGTGTGTGTGTGTGTGTGTGTGTGTGTGTGTGTATGTATATATATATATATATATATATATATATATATATATATATATATATATACACACACACACACACACACACA